TTCCTATGAAAAATAATGCCACATGATTTATGCTGGCGACATTGTTCTTGCTGACCCATCAGTTTGCAGTGCCTGCTCCTTTCATCTAATTGGCTCTCCAGTAACAAAGTCCCATACTGAACAATCTTACTGTTTATTTAGCAACAGCTCCGTTTAAAACTCCATGCTGCCACCCAGCAGGATTCAGTACCTCATTTGTATGGTTACGAAAAATAATGCCACATGATTTATGCTGGCGACATTGTTCTTGCTGACCCATCAGTTTGCAGTGCCTGCTCCTTTCATCTAATTGGCTCTCCAGTAACAAAGTCCCATACTGAACAATCTTACTGTTTATTTAGCAACAGCTCCGTTTAAAACTCCATGCTGCCACCCAGCAGGATTCAGTACCTCATTTGTATGGTTACCGTTCGGTAATACAGCAGCCAGACTCTCAATAGAAGTACCTTTCGCTAATGAAGTATCAAATACATAAGTATCTCTAAAAGAAAATGTAGTCTGGAATTCCCTTGTGGCTCCACATCACCAGAACCCATCATGGAGTTTATCTTTGTGCTACATGGTTGCTTATTTGTGCTGTATTTTAAATAGAAGTCAATGCAGTTTTTATGTGAGATTGCTGTATACTATTTAGTGGTATGGCATGCTCTTTTTAGTTAGCTTGTATAGTGTAGCAGGCAAAACACTAAACTGTTGTTTATCCCTTCAAGACAGCTGGTGTGATCCATTCACCTCAATATGGTGCACGGTCTTATGCTATCAAAACACTTTTAGTGTGTTTTCATTGCAGGAGGACTTATTTTGAAATTTTTTTTTAGGGAACTAAAGCAGACTCATCCTGGCCTGAAATAATTCCTTTGTGAAGTATGAACTTGCTCTTTGCTGGAAACAGTTGAAAATTCTTTGTTGAAAGTTTGATGTAGAACAGAAACAGATTTTCATAAAACTTGATTTCTATTTTCTAATTCACTGTGCTAAGGACCTTTTCTTATACAATCATCATTTTACAAAGCAATTTAAAATCTCTTAGGCCTGATATACGCTAAAGTGGAAAGTCGACCTAAGATATGCAACTCCAACTATGTTAATTCAATGTGTCTTAAATTGCTGTCCACACAGTGGGAGGCTGACAGGAGCAGTGGCTGAGTGTAGTCATTACCTTAAGGTTTCCACATTATCTATTAGCCAGTTCCAGTCATAGTAGACAGCATGGAATTTAACATTATATTGTAGTGACTGGATCAAAGCAACCAAATTGATGGCAAGTCTAGGAGACAAACTGAAAAAGTTGCATACCATCTCAGATACCCTCCCTTTCCATGAAATGGTGGCAATTCCTTTGACTTAGGAATTGAGCAAGTAGGAAAGCCCCATTAATGGGTAACAACCAAGACCCTAACTGGATTGTCAGAGTATGTTTATATTTAGAGATTGGCTCAAGGAGAGCTTCTTCTCCACATGTACTCTGCCCTGGGAAGCAACCTGGTGAGTCTGTTAGGCATAGTCCCACCCCAGCAACCCTTTGGAGAGTGAGACACCAGCCTGTACAATTCAAGTCTGTGCCTAAGGATATGTTGACATTGCAACACAAGACCCACAGCCGCGAGTCTTAGAGCACAGGTCAACTGACATGAGTTTGCAGGGTTCGGATTATGGGGCTCAGAATTATAGTGGAAATGTTTGGGCTTGGGATGGAGACCGGCCTCTGAAAACCTGTGAACGGGGAGGATCTCAGAACCCAGACTTCAGCCCAAGCCCAAATGTCTACACTGTTATTTTTATCCTGCAGCCTGAGCCCTGCTGAGCTCGGGTTCTGAGAGATGCTACGGTGGGTCTTTTATTGCAGTGCTGAAAAACCCCATAGCTAATCCAGGCCATAGCATGCACACACATTGAGTATATGCTCTTGGCATCCTGACATAAGCCCCTGGGCTCTAGTGTAATAGTAAAGAACCTTTGCAGTGGTAGCATCCTTGTAGGAACTCCAGAAGACATACATACAAGGGAAATGTGTCTGTCACCCCTCTCCGTAAGGAGGGCTTCAGTCAGTGGAGTTGTAGTAGTATCACTGATGTGGTAAATTAGGATTTACCATCGTGGTGTCCTGATGGATCTCCTGCTTCATCAATGATGATAAGCAGAAGGCTGCATGCGCATGTGCTTAACCATGTATTCTGTGTTGACTGGTGCAATTAGTCAACTCAGCAGACTCTGAAAGAGTCCCCAAAGACCACAGATCAGATAAGGGTTGAAGGAGTCTGGTCAAGGTTTATTGTTAGTAAAGTACAGTAATAGTTGTCAGTAGACTCTACCGAACCACTACACATATGTACCCGTAAAAATGGATTCAGCTCAGTCAGTGGGAGGTCCCACTGCCCCTCAACTGGACAAAGACTGTGCCCTCCAAGACACCACTTTATATACAAGTATAAACAAGTTACACATCACTCCTGACATGTCAGGTTGCCACCCTTTGATGGCTACTTAGATACCGCTCATCATCCTGCACCTCATGGTTTGATTAGAACATCTCTAGCCATCATGCTGTCAGTTTAGACCCTTTCCTGAACCTGGGTCAGTATCTATGGAGAGTATCTAAGGGTTTTTTTTAAACAAGCTGGTGTTACCATCCGTTTGGAATGTGCTTTCAACTTATGACCAGTACCAATTACTGGTCTATACCTGGGCTTATTACCAATTAGTGTTTTACACTTTCAGCCCTGTTTGTGCCAAGTTCTGTGAGCAAGGGCCTGCCTCTTGCTCACATCTTAGCTGTGCTTTATATTAGTCAAGTTTTGTCCATTGTTAGCGAGGCCTCAGGCCTCAAACTAGGCCTCAAACCAGGTACTTAGGCTTTCGTTTCAGGCTTACATCTTACTACAGAGTCCTGTGCCAATGATCTTCTAAGTGGTCAGTGTAGACAGAGGACAGGATCGTGTCTCTCTCTCCACTATTCACTTCCCATTTTATAAGAGTGCCTTATAGTGCTAGCCCTTGTGGCCACTGAGAGCAGGGTCTGGAATTGTGGATTTTCTGTGTATCCCTGTGTAGGGCCAGCCAAGATAGTATAGTATAGTAAAGTATAGTATAGTATAGCCATGATAGAGTTGATTGTCTCAGCTCACTGGTCTTTTTTTAAGATCATGCCAGTTTTCACATGTTCCATTCAATAGATATTGAGATAGTGTAACATGGTATATTTGCCTGGCTCCTTTCTCAGTAAAACTCTACATTCTCTCTCTTCAGGGGAAATCCAATACTCACGTCTTGTTGTACCTGCACTCCTCATGGTTGGCTGGATTGTGGGTTGTGTGTTAATGGTTTACATAGTCTTCTCTTGATAAAGGTAAGCTATTTGTATAATATTCATATACAGTCAACATTTACTGAAATTTGCAGTGCTACCTTTTTACTAAGGGAACTTTTTTGTCCTGCAGGAAAGAAGATTTCACAATGACATTGATTGGAAGAACCCAGAAGTTAAATGGAAATGTCTAGTCCTTAAAATAGGCACAGTATAAGTTGTGTGTTAATACCACAATGTAGACATGGTATACACTTTGTGTCTACAACATAGATATGAAGTTGGTTCAGATACTTTTGAATTGAGTGGTGTTTGGAACCCAGTAATAGGTCAGATATTTGCCTATCCTCCAAGCCATCACTAGCCATCTTGAAATTCATCCTCTTGGAAGTAGAATTTCCAGAATACTTATTTTTGGTGGTGACAAACAGTGCCAAATGGAGTTGGTGACTTAGATACAGAAGTATACATGAAAAAAATTAATGATATGGGAAGCAAGATGCCTCTAATCAGACCATGAATCATCTTTAATGTGCTGGGAAAAAAGAAATACTAAATTAAAAAAATAAATTGTGGAAATAACCCTCCTAACTCTGGAAGAATGTTTACTCTCTAAATAAATTTTCCAACACAAATTTCTCTTTTGTAATTTAAAATGCCATGATGCAAAAATTTCTATGTATAAATCCACAAGGTTCTTTGGAAGATGAAAGGCAGCTAGGTCTGCTTTATTTATGTGGCAAGAATTCTATATGCAGGTTGTACTATAAGCATGACATAGGCTTTATAAAGCCCAAAAGCTTTAAGTATTGTCTAATAAACACGTAGGTAGGTGCCAACTTAATCCTTGATCTTTTGTGTTTAAATCCAATTCTAGGAACAGATTTTGATCTCTTCACTCTGAATTCAACCTAGATCCCATCAGAGAAACTGGGATTTGACCCAATGGCAGCTGGATTGGGCCTTAACAAACGTAATCCTAGTAAATTCAATAGGACTTCCTACATAAGGAGAGAAGAAATTGACCCTTTGGTGGCAGATTAAAAGAATGTTCTTATAGTATTGTCCATTTGTACACATTACCAAATGCGGTGCAAGTGATACTTCTGGGGAAAAAAAAAGCCTGTGTGTAGAATAGCAGTGTAGATGTAGATCAGAAGTGAGGTACATAAGTAGAGTTGTCTGGAGAAGCGTACACAATAACTAAACCAGTGATACTAATCACTGACTTTATTGGGAACTAAAAATTCACTCACAATGGAAGGCTCAAATACCTAGATATTATGATGACTACATTAAAATTATATCAATGGAAGAAATGCAAGCACATCTTTGTGTTAGTGAGTGGCATGTGAGTTAAATTATGAGATCATTTTATTACATTACTGTTAAACAATATTTAGAAGGTGAGCTCTACTGTATCATGATAGAGGGCCTATGTAATATCTCTATAATAGCAGACTTCGCCTCCCGCCCAAAGAATTGTTGGTGGTCTCCAACAGCTTATGGTGAATTTACTTTTCTTCACTCTGATGGAAAAGAGCTCTTGGCCTGGTTATTCTTTTCCTTCTTTTGTCCTCTCAGGGAAGAGATTCTTGAATACTTCCGCAGGAGTAACTCCTCTTGTCATTATGGGGAAGGCCTGCAGATCACAACAGCATCAGCTTGGAAGACATCTGCTTCCAAGGATCTGCTGCAGGCATTCACTTTCCAGGGCCACACTCTTCCAAGACACACAGATAGTTCATGGGACAAGATTCTAAACCCATAGCACTCAGAATAGTGAGTTGAACCTGGTGATGTCCCCTTAACTTTGGATAAAGAAATAGACATGGAAGGAGGCAGTCTGAAGATGGCACAAGTCAAGGCTGAAGGAGCAAGAATTGAGCTGAGAAGGACACCTTTGTTCTGAAGACTACTCTCAGACGGGGTAGCTGTGTTAGTCTATATCCACAAAAAACAATGAGGAGTCCCGTGGCACTTTAAAGACTAACATTTATTTGGGCATAAGCTTTCATGGACAAAACCTCACTTTGTCAGGTTTTTGCCCATGTAAGTTTATGCCCAAATAAGTTAGTCTTTAAAGATGTCTCAGGACTCCTCATTACTCTTGAGATGAAGAAGGCACTGAGAGGACATGGAGTAACAGATAGCCACTGATAAGTGGACACAGCAAAACATTAGTGGTTCCTAGGTGTCCTGCAAGGGAATTATCATTTGCTCTATCAAGGGTATAGCAATGATTGGTTAGATGTTGTGATAGCATTCTGTTACTAGGGATAGATGTTTATTTTGAGCATGGAAATCAGTGGAATTACTTTAGTATTATAGTGCTGTAACTGAGAGCAGAATTTGGCCCAATGAGCTTTTACATCAGGGAAAGATTTTAGAACTGGGTTATTAATTTGCTGCACCCAGCTTGTACAACAAAAGTGATTTACATATACAGATGTTACTAAGCATACAGCTGTGGAGTTTAAGGCCATACAGGACCACCAGATCATTTAGTCTGACCTGAACTAGACACATTTACAACATGATGTTTTCTTTTAAACCTGCAGTTCCCCTTGGATTCCTAATACACTAATGACCCTAATATTTCACAGTCTAATCGAGGAATAACTGCATATGACAGTTATGGTTTTTGTTTTCTTATGAATTGGACCTTGTATGCCTGGCCACATAGTGCTTTAAAAATATATTACAACCATCCTAAAAAGAGAGTGATTTGTAATCCTGCTGATTGAAAACACTGGGGAAAGCCTCCTACGACAACAGTACATAGTTTGTTGAAAGGTTTGCTCAGCTGCAGACACCATTGTCAGGGCAGATGATATAATGTGGGAAGATAGTATTTTTGATATATTAGAATGTTCCAGATTTGTAGGAATGGCTTTGATTTTTTTTTTCTCATTTCACATGTGGTCTCATTTACATGGAATTGGAAGGGTAAAACAAAATCAGATGCATAATACCAGAAAGCATTCATAGAACCTAAATGCCAAAAGGCTAGCTTGATAAATATTCAAACAGCTGTCTTGACTCAATGTCATTGTCCATGTCAGATGCATTGTAGCAGCTGTTTTGAGTGGATTTAAGTTAGATCGTCTAGCAATCAAATAGCTTAGGGTGTTAGTGAATTTCTTTTAATTGTTTTCTGAAAGTAAGCACAATAAGTAAACAAAATTTGCAAATACATATTTATCAAATTGAAGATGGTCTTCTAACCCTGTTTTTGAGTTTAGATTGCAGTGTTTTATTGGATTTTATGCCAAGTAAATACAAACTCACAGTTTTCATCTTCTGCCCAAATTAAGCCAATAAATAGAACATACATTAATTGTATTCAGGACTGCCTCGAGTAAATTTGGGTTCTGTGAGAAAACATTTATTTTCATTCCTAAGATTTGGTGCACAAACCATTTTCTCCTGAATATCTTACGTGCTTTAGACTCCTACACAGTGTCAGCTGCAGAAATTCAGTGCCTCAAAAGGAAAGGCTGATAGGTGATAGTCTGAACTAGCGTTTGTGGAAGGTGTTCAGGGGAATGAATGGAGATTTTCTATAAAATGAGGAGGCATGGGAACCTCTGATGTGCTGCAGCCAAGGACCTGTTGTAGGGAATAATTCTGGACACTCTGGATGCAGGTGAAAACAAGCAGAGGATTTATTGCACACAGCTGGTGGAGTGTCCTTCAGGGTTAACCTGGTGAACACTAGTTAATCAAAACATTACCACAGATTATATAGGCAACAGATGGGCGGAGTGGAAGCGATTTGATAGGGTCTGGCGGCAAGATGTAATGAACACATAAGCCAATAAACTATGAAGGTTACACAGCTTTTCCGCCCATTGCCAATTAAACATCTTATCAATAATACAGGTAGTTATTCCTAACAAGCTAAATAAGCCAACATAAGCAAGACAAGCATTTTAATGACAACTTTGTTGAAAATTATGATGTGTCTACTGCGAGGTGATACCACCTCGTGTTGGCATAGTCCTTGGGTCTCAGGCTTATCTAGGATTAAAGGAGACAGTGAGAACGACTTCTGTAAAGTTTGTTTTGGTACCAGCCAGGGTCTTATCGGAGTGAGGCCCTCTTGGAATGTGGTTGCCAGGGTGACCAGGGTCATGTTAGTTGCTTGTTCTCTGTGTTTCCAGGTCTTGCCTCAAATTTAGGATTTTAATAGGGATTCTTAGCAGAATACCATGGACTGCCTCAGTTTACCTACACCTGTCAAAGTGGGAGATGTCTTTTTTTGAGCCTTCTTTGAAATAAAATCAAGTCAACACCTCATCCTTCATCCTGGGTGAAGGCCCAGTTGGGGAAGGCAGCCAAAGCCCTGCCTCTTGTGCCCAAAGCCACTCTCCTTCCCCTTCACAACCTTCCCCCACCCAGCCAAGCCCCACCCAACTCCAGCTGATGGCTGCAGTGCAGCATGGCCCCGGCCCTACCCAGGCAACCCTGCAGTTTAGGCAGCTTTGGGAAGGCAATGCCTTCCCTTGCCTACATTACCCGCTGTCCATGGGTCTGTGTGCGCATTGCATACCAGGCCACCATCTTGTTCAAGGCTTTTGGGCACTACCATAATATAAACATTAAATTATAATAATGATCACTAAGTATGGTAACTATTTCACTAGCCTGGGTGGGGCACCAAATCTTGCAGCTGCAGGACTGGCAGCACTAGTTGAATCAGATCCGGTATTGTGCTTTTCTTTTACCTTTGTATAGACATGGCTTCAAATCTGGCACAGGTAAATATCTAAAACTCCCCAATAACTGCTTCCCATCTGATAATCTGAAAGTATTACATTGAATTAACCTGTTCAGTGCCCCTTGAATGTTTTTAATGAAGTAATGTAGCCTAATAAATAGACTCAACACTGAAACTCAGATGACCTTCATTGTATTCCCTGCTTTGCTTGCTAACCGTGGACAAGTCACTTCACTTTAATGTATCCCAGTCTTGTTTGCCCATAAAGTGGGGATAATTATATGTCACTTGTAAAGCACTTGGAGACCAATGGAAGACTAGCTCTGTATAAGAGCCAGCTATCATGATATTATTTATTTAATAGGAAGGAGGGGATCAGTTCCTAAGAGAGTTGATCGTCACCCCACAGAAAGGGAGACATTTTCAGTCATGCAACTCCCGCTGAAAATTCACTTTGTGCCTTAGAATGTCTCCTTCTGTGCCTGTGTGGAGCCAAGGACTGATCTAAGTTCTATTGACTCCCAATTCTGTATTTTGTCATTAAGACTGTTTTCTACCTCCAGTTTGACAGAGCAAATATTTACATTCTTTTACCAGATGTATCTGTTTTGCATTAGTGAATTACACAAACTCTGTTACATAAAGCAAAGTAGGTGGCACTACTGACTTTGTAGATGTAATTATTTCGCTAATTTTTGCAACATTTGCTGCAACCTACCCCTTTCCCATACTAAACATTTTGGCCATTATTTTTCAGATTGGCTTATCTCACATGTACCCACCAGAGGTCACTCTCTTTGCAGTTATAGAATTTGCTGAAAAGCAGAGCAGCAGTTGCAAATGTGATTAGGTATTTAATTTTCTCATATTTATGGAAACTGCTGAATCAGAATATCAAACACACTGAAGCAT